AGATCATTTCTTAGAAGTTTTATACATACGGGCCCAGTACTTAATATCCTAATGATTTTTGCTAAATGCTATTGCCATAAATATACCCGTGCTACTTGTGACTGGTTTTGTGATCCAGGGACACATTTATTCCCGTGACAACAAAGCTGAATTTTCTGCATTATTACTCCAGTCTTCAGTGTCACATGATCCTTCAGAAATCATTCTAATATTCTGCTCAAGAAATATTTCTTGTTATCAGCATCATCAATGTTGAAAACCAGTTGTGCTGCTTAATGTTTTTGTGGAAACTGATCATTTTTAATGAATAGAAAGTCCAAAAGATTTTTTTTGCAACGTTATAAATGTTTACTTCCACTTTTGCTTAATTTAATTCGTTCTTTTTGAATAAAAGTATTGATTTTTTTTTAAGTCTTTCCCCAAAATTCTGAATAGTAGTGTAAATCTATTTTGTTAATTTATAAAAGTATTGATGAAAATGGTACCATCTTATTGAGAATAGACTATTTCACTCAACATGTGTGTATGAGTTGTGTTTGCTGTTTTTAGCTTAGCTGCATGCTAACATCAGACTTTATTGGAATCAACTACATCTATGTCTTCAGAACAGAAGTGGGATTTTCAGATATAGGCATGGCCAATCTCTGGACCCCATCACCATGGCTGTGAGCCTTCATTTTAAATCTTTTGAAGTCCAGGACAAGGTTTAACCCTGTTTCCAGAGATCTAAATAACCAAACAACACAAGGCCTAGAACACAGTTCAGCTGTCAGTGAAATATGTGCTGGAACGAACCAGGATTCAGCTCATAAGGGCATCGCTGGGCACTTGGGGCCCTTTGAAATGCCTTTTCTCTTTTACAGCCTCTCGTGACTGCATGCTTCAAAATCACGCACACTTACAGTTGAGATTGTCTCATTCCAGAACAATAGCTGAAGTCCCCAGTTCCACCTCACTGTGCCCAAAATACTCTGGTGTGGTTAATGCCCCATGCCTCATTGGCTCTTATAACTACAGAAAGCTACAGAGTGTTTAGATGTCATGGAACATTGTAGCCTCACTCACTCTCTTAAGGAGAGAGAGAGAGATTAGTATCTCCATAATGAAAGTTGTTTTGAAAGTGTTGAGGGTCACGTTTGTTCTTGGTCCCATGAGACCATCAAAGCATCTCATAAACACCAAGAAACGTTCACTTTAACATCATCAACATCTCTCTGCTGTTCAGTGACACTGTCTCGGTGATATATTGGCATGGTAATTGTAAGGAATTTAACTCTTCTGGTTCCAATTCCACTCAACGGTTTCCTGAAAGTGTTCCTCTGTTTTATCTTAATTAGTTATTTTTTATAGCTCAGCACTTTGTGCTTTATAATGTGCTTTAAAAAATTGCTTTATAAACAAGTTTGAATTGAATTTACAATTTTAGTTCTTTTGAGGAACAATATACTAAACAAAAACAAAACTCTCTTTGGTAACATATTTTAATGTGCCATTTATATTATTAAATTACCATAAAACTTGTGTATCAGTATTAGCTTAGTATTATTTACATACTTTTATAGTGTTTATTAAAGGTGCTAAATGTAACTTTTCTTCTAAAATGAATCCTTTTTTTATTGCCTGTGTGTGAAGGGGTTGTAATCACACATTACAATGATCCACTTGTCGGGTTTTGCTATTACCTCTGAAGGCCAGTATTCCTATTTCTATGTGAATTCTCCGGGTCGGATTTTCTGCTAAATCCATCGGATGTGACGTGCATGCGCGCTCCCGAGCCTCTCTCCTTTTTATATACAGTCTATGCGACGACACTGCAGCTGACAACGTGGAGTCTGATAACACCAGAAAACGACCTGCCTTCAGCACAAACTCCACATTAATATAAAAAACAAAACAAAACAAAAATGTATCTGCTGAAGCTCGTCAGACCAAACGTCAATCAGATCGACTTAGGACCAAAACACGGATCAACATCGGCAGAGCGTTTGAATTACGGAGAGACCTCCGCTATTTTTATTGTGATAAATTACAATAAAGTTTAAAGTTTTCAGATATGCTGAAATAATGTTAAACTGTAATGAAATAGCAAGGTAAACTACAACATATATGAGACATGAAATGAATACAAAAGACTGTTCCAGGATAACAAAAAGTAGGTGCTTTAGGATGTAACTTTTATTGTATGTACTAGATCTACTGTCTAACGTCACTCATCCCACTACTATCATATTGTTTATAATACACATTTCCAGACACGTTCAGTACAGTAATGTTACTTCCTACGATCTTACTGTTACACTGAAATTGTTCAGTCTAGTTCACTAACCGTTTTCATTATCATATTATACATTCTCCTATATTGACATTGCTGATTGTGAAAGATACACGAATAGTTACAAATATAACACCACATGTCGGCTAAATGCATTATCATGGTACGAGCATGGAGCATTAGTTCAACATCAAGCTGATAAAAGTAGCCTATTATTGTAACGTTGCAGTGGGAGTTTACATGAGTTTCCAGCATGTTGTGTGATGCTTTCTCCGGTGTGTTGAAAGTCTCAGTGTGTCCGGCCGGTACCATGAGCGCTCGCTCTTGTGTTCTAGCACGCGCAAGAGCACGAGCGCTCTTGTAAAAATTGGTTGCAATCTGAAACATCACCGATAGAGGCCGCTAAAAAATACATATAGCACCTTTACTATTTTGAATCAGCCTTGATTTTTATATTTGGTTTTTTATTATAAAATATTTTTAATTATTTTGATTTTGTGTAAATATTTCTATTTAGCTTTAATTTATTTTATTTCAATTTTGATTTTATTACTTTTAGTACTTCAACTTATTTACTTATTTCAACTTATTTATTTCAGTGAGTTGCCATGGCAACATTTAATTTTTTTTAGTTTTTCATCTAATATTTATATTTTGTTTAATTTCAACTTCATTTAAATTAGTGTAAAAAATATGTTTTTTTAATATTTTTTTTACTTTTAGTTAATGATTACAACACCAATGTGTCACTACATCCATTCAAACCAATAACAAGTTTGACACTCTTTACAGATTCTTTACAAGAACTCCCTCAAAAGAGTCATTTGTTCACAAATTGTTGTTCACAGATCTGTATTCTTGTGATTCTTTTAGTATTATTTTGCAATAACTAGACTTTCTCATTTCATTGATTTATATTGCAATTGATTAGGGGTGGGCAATATACTTGTAGACATGATTAACCAGTAGAAATTTGACAACCGGTAGAGAATTTGGACTATCGTCTATATCGCGGTTACGCACGCGTGATGTTTCTATGCTGCGTAGTCACGAAAGCTTATTGTATGCTTGCATTTTTAAGCATTGTGGTTTAAAAAGCAAGTGATTTTAAACCACTGATGCTCAATAAGCAACAAAAGAGAACTCATTTCGCTATATGAGTGCACTGTTTGAGAGACACGCATTAATAAAGCCGCTGCTTATAGAGCGTGTGTACTGTACTGAATAGAGCGTGATGGTGTACTGAACTGAGTTCTTTTTGCCCCCTAATTGTGCTTAAATGGTTAAATACACGTATCAAAATGGCGTCTTTGCATATATCCTCGTAAACAGTCATTTATGTCTTAAGTGAACGTAAACAGTTGAGAAGGAAAACACTTCGGTCTTAAAGGGACAGCAGCCTAATATACCTGCTGTCTTCTGTGTCATTAATGTTATTCAAGCAACAAAAGAGAGAAAATCTCACTTTTGTAACTATAATCATTTACACAGTCAAGACTATGCAGTGTTTTGATTACTTAATACAATTTGTTGTATTTCTTATTTCTAGTGCTTGAAGTTTTTCCATGTAGGTCTATTTCATTTGTTCAAATGCAGGACAACTATTTTAATGCAGTATTTTATCTGCATTGATGGAACAATGCAGACATTAAAAAAACATTAACGGAACCGACCATTGTGAAAATCATTTGGTTTTGAATAAGAAGCAGTTCTTAATTCCCAATCCTAGTGATATATGTGGAAATAGTTTTGTGTGCGTGTGTGTGTGTGTGTAACTAACTATGTTCCTTCCCTCCCCTCTTCCTTCATCTGTCCATTGTTTTCCCAGGCTCTAAACATTCTTGAGCTCTTTAAGCCAACCCCCCTCCCTTTCCTTCTCCACTCTATTCCATCCTTTCTTCATTTTTCATAAATTTTTCCTTTATTTTTCTTCTTTTTTTCCCTTATATCAAGGTCTTTGCAAGGGAATGCTCTTAATAATGATTTTAACAGTAATTATGGATAGTCTATATTGCCTAGCTTCGAAAGAGTGTATAGTGCTCTCTCTCTCTCTCCTGTTATTAAATGAAAGCAATAGATTCAGTGAGCGCATATTCATACCACTTTCTCCACCACTCTCTTTCTTTTGCGTTTTCTTTGTGTCTGTGCAGCTGATGGCTCCAGGAGTCCAGTTTGTGTATCTCAGACAGCCGTGTGTGTGTGTGATGGTGTGTAATGAGAACCAGAACCTGGTTTCTTGAGTGAATGAGGGGAAAAGAGGTGGAGGAGTTTAACAAAGCTGTAGCGCTGCATTTTCAGGGGTTACTACAGCACACACTCATAACACATCACTCTGAACTCTCCATAAACCCCGCCCACACAGGAAGTGTGTGTCCCAGAGGGAGGAGATGCTTGGACGGGGTTTGACTCCTCCCACTCTTGCTTGCTTTCTCTCTCCATCTCTCTTAAGCCAAACAGTCTCTCTCATTTTACACATATACAGAGGAGGGCTCATTGTTCCCCAGTATTTAAGGAGGATTTTACACACACACTTTCACCATAAACACAAAGGTGAATGAAAAAGTAAAATATCATGCCTTGGACTTGCATTCTGGATTGTCTTTTACTGGCTGTTCCTGTAGTTTTCTGATCTGGAAGGAGTTACGGTCTGAAGACGTTGGAGCACCATCCGTGGAATGTTTGATTGAAGTTTTGGGAATGTTGTTAAAGCGTTCTCTCATCTCTGCAGGTGTTCCAATGGAGACAATTGGAGAATCTGTACTTCAGGGAGAAGAAGTTCTCAGTGGAAGTTCATGACCCAAGAAGGTAAATCTACATTACAGCCTACACATGCTTGCTCACACACACAGGTCATGGACTATATAGGCTTACAAACAATGTCTATCACACTGACAGGACATGCTGTGGGGACCACTTTCACTCCAACCCAGCACGAATTTTAAAGACAGGTTTGTTTAGATGTCATGAAATGTTTGAAAGATCTCAGCGGTTTGTGGGTCCTGTTGGTATGTTTTTGTCCTTTGATTCTTTTCAATTCCAGTGTGGGAATAATTGGAATTACTTAGAAGTAAAGTGGCATGATGTACTGAGCTTTAAACATAGGATATTCTACAGCATCAAGAGTAAAATAGGGTTGATTATGAAGTCTGATTTCTATGGAGGAACATCTTTATAAAGCATTTACATGTCAGTTATACAAGTTTTATTTTGTTTATTCTAAAATATGTCAGACTTTGACAGGAAAACCCATTTTTCTGTCCTCCTCTTCCTTAAGAGAAACATTGTGAGGTAAATGTTCATAGTTACAGCTGGTTGGCCTCCATCCACAAGCGTCCACTGAGCTAAGCTATTTGTTATTGGATTGAAATCTCTTACTTCCTGTGTCCTGTGGAGAAGAGTGTAGAAATACAACTGGAACAAATGAACAAAAACATACCCTACTCTTTCTTTCTGACTCTCCATCTCTAGAGATTGAGATGCGGTTTGAGTTAATTCCGATTCTCTGCTCTTCTCTCTCGTCCTGTCACAACTGGGGATGTTTCGGATCTTCCGTTTTTTCTGAATCTCTCTCCATCGATATTAAGAGGTGTTTACGTTTTAATCAGACCCTTATGACATCATCAGTGCGTGCTGAGGGCTGGTTAGTCTTTTAGGAGAGCACACTCTGCCAAAAGCAGCAGCACACGCTGCCTCAGATGCTGACAGATAAACCGCCTCATTCACGCTGTTCAAACAACAACCAAGACAGCCCAGAAACGAGGAGAACACGGAGGGAGTTCACAGAAATGCTGGAGGCTGGGGAAATAAGACATGAAAGAGAGGAAAACAGTTTAGGAAAATGAAACAATCTGTTTATTTTGCAGCATGAGGGTCTATAATGTATTTTACTTCTTGTTAGGTTCACTGTCATTCAGTTAGAGTCATTGCAACACACACACAAACACACATGCGCTAATATCGTTTTGATAAGAGTCAGAACACGAGGGTCTGCTGTTTATCTTTGTCCTAGTGGAGAGGCCTGGAGGTTTTTATAAAGCCCATCACAGGACACACACGTGCTCTGGGTTTGACCACAGTGTAAATGGTGTGTGTGTGTGTGTATGTGGGCTACACTGTGTGTGGTATGTTAATACATTGCAGGACTGTCAGCAGTACTATGTGCTAACACCAGTTCACATTTCATATCTCCCACATAAATATATATTATACAGGTGGCAGACAGTATCATTTAAATGGATTTTTGTGTTTTTATGTTTTTATGTGTCTCTAGTATATACACTATCATTCAAATGTTTGTTTTGTTTTCTTAAAAAAAAAAATTAATATAAATGAATATAAAAGTTTTATTCAGAACATTCATAAGAGAATCCTAAAAAAAAGGGCATCATGGTTTCCACAAAAATATTAAGCAGGGCAATTGTTTTCAACATTGATAGTCAGAAATGTTTCTTGAACAGCAAATCAGCATATTAGAATGATTTCTGAAGGATCATGTGACACTGAAGACTGGAGTGATGATGCTGAAAATTCAGCCTTGCATCACAGGAATAAAAATCAAATAAATTTTAGATCAAATAAGCTTTGTCTTAGCATTAGCCAGCAACAAGATGCTCAACAGTGGGGTTTTTTTTGCCTGTTTTTACTTTAGCTTTGAAATGTAGTTCTTCTAATTTAGAGGTAGTAACCTTTTATGACAGTGTATTTATTGAAAAGACAAACACAAATATGCTGTGCATCTGATAATACATAACAGTGTTTTAAATGTGTTTGGACAATAATAAACATTTTTACATCCGTTTCTGCACTGACAATGTCATAAAATTCAGTGAATATAAAGTCGGTTTGTGTTTGCTCCAACTGCAGGGCGTCGGTAACGCGGAGGACATTTGGTCACAGTGGCATCGCCGTGCACACCTGGTACGCCTGTCCCACCCTCATCAAATCCATCTGGGCCATGGCCATCAGCCAACACCAGTTCTACCTGGACCGCAAACAGAGCAAAGTAAGTGTGTTTATGTTTTAGGATCTGCGTGTGTGTGTGTGTGTGTGTGTGCGTGTGCGTGTGTACTTGTACAACTATCTTTGTGAGGACTGGTTTTAGACTATCGGAGCATTTTCAGACAGAGTTTTAGACCATCGGTGTGAGGACAAAGAGACATTTTGGCTGGTCTTCACTTTATGAGACCCATTTAAAGGCCTGTTTGAGGGTCAAGACTTGGTTTTAGGGATATGGTTATATTTAGGTTAGGTTGGGTTTAGGGTAAGGGTTCGGGTTAGGCACTAGTTGTACAAGGGTTAGGAGCTAAAGATTCCAATGTGTCAATGAATAGATACACAAAGATAGATGTACAAGTGTGTGTGTGTGTGTGTATATAACCTTTTTCTTACTACAACAACCTTCCTGTGTGTTTCTGTGGTCTACCTCTAACCATTTCACCGTCTAGACTACCATCTCTCTGCAATCATCAGGGCTACATTAACTTTCTCTCTTTCACTCACACACACACACACACACAACTATCTGTCTCTGATCTTGCTCATGGATTCTGTTACACTTTTAAAAGCTGCGGAATGTTCGTCTCCTGGAAAATTCTGACACACTCGTCACAGCTGGCAAGCACATTCACTCTCTCTGTCTCTGTCTCGCAGAGTAAGATCCACGCAGCGCGCAGTCTGAACGAGATAGCCATAGACCTGACAGAAACAGGAACCCTCAAGACCTCCAAACTGGCCAACATGGGCAGCAAAGGCAAAATCATCAGCGGGAGCAGCGGGAGCCTACTGTCCTCAGGTCAGAACGCATACATGCTCGCAAGTCACCTTTATTTATATATCGCTTTATGCTTTATAGATTTTTTCAAAACAGGAAAACAGAATCAATGATGCAAACAGAATTCAGTTCTGCTTTAAAGCAGCTCTAAAAGGACAATAGTGTCATTATTCATCTGAAGAACTAGTGTTCAGTTCAGTTCAATAACTGTAAAGTTAATCAATTACAAAACTAGTTCAATTCCGCAATAAGCAGTTCTACAGAAGACGATAGTTCCATTATTCATATGAAGAACCAGTGTTTGTTCAGTTCAGTTCAATAACTGTAAAGTTCATCAATTATGAAACTAATTCAATTCCGCAATGAGCAGCTCTACTTAAGACAATAGTGTCATTATTCAGCTTGAGTCAGTTCAGTGATTGAAATCAGTTCAATAGTGTCAATACTGCAAAATGAATAAATTATTAAACAATTTTGATTCAGCTATGAAGTTGCTCTGCAGAAGGCTGTCATCATTCAGCTCAATTCAGTTATTATCCGATAGTGATTCAGATTACTGAATAGGGGCTTTCGCACCGGAGGATCCTTTTCATAGTTCCTAGAACTATTGGCGGAAGTACCCAGATTTTGGCGTGTTTGCACCGCAGGAACTAGGACCGATTTTAGTTCTAGGAACTCCTTTTGGAGGAACTAATTTAGCTCCTACTTCAGAGTAGGGTCTAAACCAGCACAATAGGAACTACCAGTAACTTTAGTGTACGCGATTGGCCGAACGCACACGAAACGCCAGCATCCGCCATTTTTTAAAAAGCTGTGTAATCACAGATTATAGCCTATATATTTGCTCCAGAAACTAACTCCATGAACATGGAAAACAGTGATAGATGGGCCTCTTAACCTTTATTATACAATACAACCTAATTATTTTACATTAATTTTAATCCATTATTTGTTACATCATGTATACAACATGTTATTGTTACACCCTGCCCAGTGCTGTCCTCCACACAACGTGTAATATAAAGCCTATCAAAACAAATATAGTGAATGTATCTATGTTGGCTATTCTGTACATTATAAGAAAAATAAAAGTGTTAAATACAATTACATTCTAAACCTAAAATCAACTGATTGCTTACTATTTTAAAGAAGAAATTAAAAAGACTAAATTAAAAATGATAAAAAACAAAAGCACGTATAAAGAACACACATTCACTCATATGAACATTAATGGGCAATTGACATTTTGTCAGAACCTCTAGTAAATTACATGTTATTTTGTTTAGTTGTCTATTCGGAATCGTGGGAGAATTGCAATCTCAATAAAAAAAGAAAGAAAACTTCAACTTAAAAAAGCTTTTGTAGTGTGCACTTGGCTTCATATACTCCTATTATATGTGTGAATTCAGTGTTTATGATCTCATGGTGATGATGATGTCATACACTGGGAGTTTTGGGGCGTGGGTATGTGTGTAAATTTTCTATGGGGTGAGAGTGAGAACAGCTTGTCTTGATGCTGGTTTTGGACTCTTGCCGTGGTGTCAGATATCATGAATTAAATGAGCTCATAGTGTCAGTCATATGATCTCCCCTTTCATCTGGGCTGTTTCTTCAGTCTCTTAATCATTGACCACACGTGATAGATTAGTGTAAGGTCAAAGAGAAAAAGAAAATTCAAAGACAAAAAATGTAGGGTAGCACTTGATGCTATCCAATTGGAATTGATTGGAGAATCCAAAATGGAGTCATACTCAGTTATGTCAGTTCACAAAGAAAGTTTCTTCTTTGGAAAACCATGCATGAATTGTGCACAATAAGGCATTAAGTAAACAATATCGATTTTGATTTCACATTCACTCTAAAAAGACTATTCAGTGGGACATAATGGAGGGAAATAATTCCACCACTGGTTTTAGTTGCATTGTGAAAAGTTAGGCTGTTATACTTTATTGTCGTTGGTATTATTTGTTTCTACCCATGCAGTTTTGCTTATAAGCAGAAAATAAAAAGTTGTTGTGCATTACTCCAGATTTCATTTCAGTGTCACATGATCCTTCAGAAATCATTATAATATGCTGTTTGTGGCAAATTCAAGCTGAATAATGTCGAAAACGTGCATTTTTATAAATGCACTACAGTTAAATGTGCATGTGTGTGTGTGTGTGTGTGTGTGTGTGTGTGTCATTGCTCTGTAAAGTACTCAGGTGTTACAGGAAGACCCCTTTTCTCCTGTGGTGTCTGAAAGGATAGAGAGATTTCACAGAGACACTCTCCAAAACAAAGTCCCTCTGTTCCAGTGACAAAAATACACTCACCGGCCACTTTATTAGGTACCCCATGCTAGTAACGGGTTGGACCCCCTTTTGCCTTCAGAACTGCCTCAATTCTTCGTGGCATAGATTCAACAAGGTGCTGGAAGCATTCCTCAGGGAGTTTGGTCCATATTGACATGATGGCATCACACAGTTGCCGCAGATTTGTCGGCTGCACATCCATGATGCGAATCTCCCGTTCCACCACATCCCAAAGATGCTCTATTGGGTTGAGATCTGGTGACTGTGGAGGCCATTTTAGTACAGTGAACTCATTGTCATGTTCAAGAAACCAATTTGAAATGATTAGAGCTTTGTGACATGGTGGAAGTAGCCATCAGAGGATGGGTACATGGTGGCCATAAAGGGATGGACATGGTCAGAAACAATGCTCAGGTAGGCCGTGGCATTTAAACGATGCCCAATTGGCACTAAGGGGCCTAAAGTGTGCCAGGAAAACATCCCCCACACCATTACACCACCACCACCAGCCTCCACAGTGGTAACAAGGCATGATGGTTCCATGTTCTCATTCTGTTTACGCCAAATTCTGACTCTAACATCTGAATGTCTCAACAGAAATCGAGACTCATCAGACCAGGCAACATTTTTTCAGTCTTCAACTGTTCAATTTTGGTGAGCTCTTGCAAATTGTAGCCTCTTTTTCCTATTTGTAGTGGAGATGAGTGGTACCCGGTGGAGTCTTCTGCTGTTGTAGCCCATCCGCCTCAAGGTTGTGCGTGTTGTGGCTTCACAAATGCTTTGCTGCATACCTCGGTTGTAACGAGTGGTTATTTCAGTCACTGTTGCCCTTCTATCAGCTCGAACCAGTCTGGCCATTCTCCTCTGACCTCTGGCATCAACAAGGCATTTCCGCCCACAGAACTGCCGCTCACTGGATGTTTTTTCTTTTTCGGACCATTCTCTGTAAACCCTAGAGATGGTTGTGCGTGAAAATCCCAGTAGATTAGCAGTTTCTGAAATACTCAGACCAGCCCTTCTGGCACCAACAATCATGCCACGTTCAAAGTCACTCAAATCAACTTTCTTCCCCATACTGATGCTCGGTTTGAACTGCAGGAGATTGTCTTGACCATGTCTACATGCCTAAATGCACTGAGTTGCCGCCATGTGATTGGCTGCTTAGAAATTAAGTGTTAACGAGCAGTTGGACAGGTGTACCTAATAAAGTGGCCGGTGAGTGTATATGCTGTGTTTTGTGTCATGCAGCGTGATGCCTTTCTTTGCAGTAGATTTGCTTCATAGGTTCACTACAGGAAAGTTCTGCCCCTCTGGAGTTCCCATGAACCCCACCCATAACTGATTTTCTCCTAATGTCTTTCATTTCACATCTTTGTGCTGGACATTTTCCAATGGGAAGCAAAAATGATTTATTTAGCTTCTCAGCAGTTCCAGACTTGGTGGAGTGGAAAAGCTCTTTGCAGCTAAATTCTCCTGTCTCTCACACACACACAGGAACTTGGAGACAAGAATTCCCACTCTGCTTCACTCGTATGTTCATAGTGATTCTGGGAAGACAGCTGTTTAAATGTGCCATTAGAAGCGCTCACCTAACAGCTGGTTTTGGAGCTTATAGTCAATTTGACATTAAAATGGATCATATTTACTTTATTTTATATATGTCACTGTGAATATTTTTTTACTCCGAAATACACTACCGTTCAAAAGTTTGGGGCCTGTAAGATTTTTTTATGTTTTTTTAAAAGAAAGCTCTTATGCTCATCAAGGCTGCATTTATATGATCAAAAAAATACAGTTAAACAGAAATATTGTGAATTATTATCACAATTTAAAATAACTGGTTTCTATTTTAAAATATTTCAAAATGTACTTTATTCCCGTGGTGCAAAGCCGAATTTTCAGCATAATTACTCCAGTCTTCAGTGTCACATCCTTAAGAAATCATTCTTATATGCTGATTTTACATTTCTTATTATTATTAATGTTGAAAACAGTTTAGCTGTTTAATATTTTGTGTAAACTGTGATACTTTTTTGCAAGATTCTTTGATGAATAGAAGGTTCAGAAGAGCAGCATTTATTTGAAATAATAATCTTTTGTATTACCGTAGTATTAATGTCTGTCACTTTTGATCAATTTAATGCATCCTTGCTGAATAAAACTATTAATTTCTTTTAAAAAAATTACAATTATTACTGACCCCAACACTAGTGTATGTTACAATATGGAAGATTGCCAAATGCCATGCCATATTGTCTGATTTACAGTGACAGGACAAACTTTTGGTTTCAGGGCTTTTGTGCAGCCCTAGACCAAAGATACAGACACACACACACACACATAACAGGCTTGACTGGGCACTAGCAACACAGCCAGTGACCCCGGTCATATTCTCTTTCTATTACTGCTGACCCTTCACTGATTTCCAGACAGCTACCTGCCCACACACACACTCATTACCCCCTTCTAAACACACCAGACACATGATATTCCTCTGCAGAGATGCAGGAATCTGTCCCTGATGCTGTTTCCCACTGGGTAAACAAACACTGATTTAATTTCTTTAGCATTGTCTGGTGATATTAAGGTATTGTTGTTATGTAATCCTTGCCAATCTTTCCAAAAAAATCCACTGGCTTTCTTGTAAACATCTCAGACCTTGATGCATGCACACACACAGCTTTGCTCCATGCTCTGATCCACATGGGGTTTCTGCTAAATAATTAGGACCCTTTGTTCTGTTCTGTCCGGAAACACACACACACATTCGTCCCCTTTCAGAGCGTCAAAAGAGGTGAAGTACACACCCTCTCAATAAGCGAGAAGGCCAGTCTGATTGTTTAAGCTGAAATCTGGAGCTGCTGATGCTTGTTTGACCTTTAAATGTTTCTGATCTTTGACCTTTAGGTTACACGCAAACTATATGTATTTGGTCAAATGTGTCTTATGTCAACTCTAGATTTGATCTAACCCTGTGTGTGTGTATTTGTAGGCTCTCAAGAGTCGGACAGCTCCCAGACCGCTAAGAAGGACATGTTGGCGGCTCTGAGGGCCAGACAGGAAGCTCTGGAGGAGACGCTCAGACAGAGAATAGAGGAACTCAAGAGCATCTGCATCAGAGAAGCGGTAAGTACCGAAACAACCTTTCACTTCAGCATAACGGCTTTTTGAAAACCTAAGTTGACTTGCTGTCTACAATCTACATTGGCAGATTTTTTTTTTTTTTTTTTTTTTTTTTGTATTTGATAGAGAAGAACAAAGACAATTCCACTCAATATTTTTGTGTGAAGAGTGTTTCAAATCATGAAAAGGGCTTCAAATTAGCCACTTAATTCTATTTACAATTTGAATTAATATCTAATATACTTGTACTTATATTTTTAATTGTCAATTATTAACTTTCTCTGCTATGTTGCATTAACATTGAGCAGTGCATTCTGGGATTACATGAAGTGCTGCTGTAGATTTTGAACAAAACAAAGTATCTGATAAGGCAGCACACTTCTGTTTGAAATGACATTCACAGTGCAAGAACACCTTAGGATGACTAAAAACTGCCTTGCAAACAGTCAAGTCTGGATTTTGCTCACAAATGTTTTGATCAGAACTTGTATCTTAATCTCACACACTCGTGTATATCTATATGAATAAACACTTACACAAACAGCTGGATTAAGAGTGTAACATAGTGTGATTTGTTTCAGGAGCTGACAGGAAAACTTCCAAAAGAGTACCCTCTGGACCCCGGCGAGGAGCCGCCCACCGTCAGACGCAAAATCGGCACAGCCTTCAAATTGGATGAGCAGAAGATCCTGCCCAAAGGAGAGGTCAGTGACATCCAACCTCATCCCACCCTTTGACCACTGTCACGACCTGGCTGAGTGGGCATCCTGTTTATAGTCTGATTTAGTTGGTGCCGTTCAAACTTCTGACCCCCTGACCACAGCGAATGCTGCGAAATTTTTTCATCATAAACTGCCCTTTAAGCCAAACTCAGACTCAGATGCTCATGTTTGTGTGCAGGGGTCTATAAATAGCTCCAGTCTGGCATGATCAGGGGAAGTGGTGATAGTGCAGTGTATGTGTTGAGTGTCAGCCAAAAGAGCAGGATTACAAAACCCCCAAAAAAGAGCTTAGCTGTGTGAATGTGTGTGAAAGAAGCAAGCTGAAGTTATATAAGAGGTTACAATGTCATCTTCGCCTCAGCGTGTGTATGTGCCTTTTACATGACTGATGATTGTTGATTTTGGGTGATTAATCGAAGGCATTGATAAGAGGCCACAATATCTTAGCTCTCTCAATGTGTGTGTGAGAACTAGACAACTTGGCGCCCGTAGCTGTCTTGTTATTCTGACGGAGTGTGTGTTTGCAGTTTCACAAAGTGAAGAATTACATGTTTTTTTTATTAATATACTCATTTTGTGTGTGTTTACATCTGTGTTTTTTTAGGAAGAGGAATTGGAGCGTTTGGAAAGGGAATTTGCCATCCAGTCTCAGATAACAGAGGCGGCGCGGCGGTTAGCATCGGATCCTCACATCAGCAGCAAGAAGCTGAAGAAACAGAGGAAGACGTCGTATCTGAATGCCCTGAAGAAGCTGCAAGACATCGAGAACGGCATCAACGAGCACCGCGTTCGCTCCGGGAAGAAACCCACGCAACGTGCCTCTCTCATCATAGAGGGTGAGGAATTAAGTTTGTAAAGATGTTTTCCCTGAGTTACTTGTGAGTTCATTAAGTGTTTCCTCTGTAAAGTCTTTCATGCTGAGAGCAAGAGTAATCACACCTCCCCATAGACCTATAAAACAGTGTGAACGTATGTGTTGGTGTGTGACCTCTGCTGTGAAAATTCACTCATTTTCACACTCAGGTTGCAGCGATTTGTTTGACATTTTGGTGTGTGGGAGTTTTCGCTTTGTAATTGTCTTTGTCTTTGTTTGGCAGAAGCAAATATCGGCTCAGAGGACAGCTCGTTGTCTGACGCACTGGTGCTGGATGATGGTGCGTTTTGTACACTTTTATACACGCATACCAGTTTTACTTCTATAATCTTATTTCAAGTTGAAGCAGAATATTTAACAAGCAAAATGTACGGCAGGGTTTGATTCTGTCTATCTATAGTTTAAGATTGGGTGTTGCAAACAAGAATGAAGTGTTTTGTTTGGTATATCACAAAAGTCACAATAAACACAATAATTGTTTTGCCAAGTAATATAGTTTACAGATACAAAACATTTGCCTAATTAATATTCATTCATTTGGCTCATTAATATTTAGTATAGAATTCAATTGATTTTTTTTTTTTATAACTTCAAATATGGCTCATGCAATCAGATAATCCATATCAAGCCAGTTTGTAAACTATTTTCGATTGTAGGTATTTTTTTTATTAAACTAAATTTTTTTTTTTAAAATGAATTTAAATGTAATTTTCTTCATTTCTAACATTTAGCAATTTTGTCCACAAAAGAAACACATATACACACGCCATCTTAACATTCAGTCATATATTTATCTCAGTTCATCTCACTGTATGCTCCAGATGACTCCCAGGTGACAGGAACCCCCACGTTCTCTCCAGCTGCCTCCCCACACAAAGGTCTCCCTCCCCGACCCAAGTCCCACAGCCGGCCACCTCCCCCCCAGTCCCTGGACGGATTGAGACACCTGCACTACCAGCGCAGTGACTACGACAAGTCCCCGATCAAACCCCGCATGTGGAGCGAAAGCTCATTAGACGAACCCTACGAACGGGTGAAGAAACGATCCTCGCACTCCAGGTACGGACCAAACCGAAAATGTGTGTTGTGCTCGGTATGAATAGTTTAGTGCATGTTTAAATGAATGAATCGTCTTTATTCTTTTCTCTTTGTGCAGTAGTCACAGGCGGTTCCCCAGCACAGGCAGCTGTGAGGCGGGAGGGAGCAACTCTCTCCAGAACAGCCCGGTGCGCTCCCTCCCTCACTGGAACAGTCAGTCCAGCATGCCCTCCACCCCTGACCTGAGGACACGGAGCTACGTCCACTCAGCCAGGTGCTGCCACACACCCTCCAATGTCCTCTACTGTCAACATGAGAACATTACCTGGTGTTTTATTTAACATACTATTTACATAATTATATTTTTATGTGAAATAAATTCATCCTAATTTTATAGGAGTCATTCATATTTTAAATTCTTAAATTGAATACAATTATATATGTATACATTTAATATAAATAAAAAATAAAAAATAAACATAAATCCAAAATCAACCCTATTTACCGTTATAGTACTCGTTCGTTCATGCGTGATTCATTAGTGCTCATTATTTTGAGAAAAGTAATGTTAGTGTTTGTAATCTTTCTTTAAAATAATTTCTACATCAATTCCTATCATTGTTTCAACATCAACTCAATTCTAATTGATAGAATCCATCCCTTGTTGCATTTCTTCATAGAATATACTAATTAAACGTTCATGTTGACGTAAACAATTTGTAAAAAAAAATAATAATAATAATAATTAAAAAACACACACAGATATACAGTATATATATGTAAATATATCCATACAATCCACTAAAAGTCAGTTTTCTATTCTTTCTCAGTTTAACTCAGCCCTTCCGTGGCCGGAGTTCCAGTTTGGAGTCTCAGGGGAAGCTGCTGTCCTTAGAGGCAAACACAGAGGCAGGACTTTGCCCTGACCTCTTTCTGTCAGGACCCCAGAGGACAGGAAGCAATGGCTCTGTTGTCCCAGACGACTGCTCATCTTGCACCAGCCACTCCAGCTCAGAACATTATTACCCCTCGTCCACCTCTAACCCCAACTACTGTACGCTGGCCGAGGACTCGCCATCCAAAGCCCGTCAGCGGCAGCGGCAGCGCCACAAGTCCGCCGGACACCTGGGTGCGTCCAGTTCCGGCAGCATGCCCAATCTAGCGGCCCGTAACGGTAGCACCCACGGAGGAGTGTGCGGTAGCCACCAGGGTGTGTACCTCCACAGCCAGAGCCAGCCATCCTCGCAGTACCGTATCAAAGAGTACCCGCTGTACACAGAGGGCAGCAGCCCCAATGCCGTGGTAGTCCGCAGCCTGGAAAATGACCAGGAGGGGCACTACAGCGTCAAGGCACAGTTCAAAACCTCCAACTCTTACACAGCTGGGGGGCTTTATAAGGAGGGGTGGGGCTCCGGGGAGGACGGGGAAGCGGGTGGCGGCAGCGGGAGGTTGACGCCCTCCCGCTCGCAGATTGTGAGGACTCCGTCTCTGGGCAGGGAAGGAGGAGGAGGAGGGGGGCGGGCAGCGGTGTCAGAGGAGCTGAGGTGCTGGTACCAGCGCTCGTCTGGATCGATAAAGGAGCACAGCCGCGTCACACACACCAGCTCCAACGCTTCAGATGGCCGTGGAGGACGAATAGGGTCGCTAGTGAAGGGGTCACCAGGTGAGCAGGACAAATATGAACTATGCAAAAAGTATATGGATACCCGATAGACCTCAATCAGAGTAAACGTCATTAATTAAACACAAACTTGGCTCCAGATTTTTGCTACAATTAATTATTTATTTGCAGTATGTATATATATATATATATATATAGCCATCTTAGCAAAACAGAATAAGAACATTTTCTTAATGACAATTATAACTGTCTATGCAATTTTCTTGTTCTATGCAAAAAAGAACTACATGCTATCTATGATGTCTGATAAGCAGAATTTGTCAAACAGATTATTTTATCAGTGTTGAAGGGTTGAACAATAGAGTTATCAGTTTGAATCACACTCATCTGACATCACTTATTAAACTGAAAGTCTTTTTTTTTTGGTTATGTATGATTTCAGTTAAGCTGTTTCTGAGGTTTGTGACACTGAAATCAGTTTTGATTAACCATTGTATCGAACGGCTCTATAATTTGACGTCTAGAAAAAGTTATTTGAATCCAAACTTTTTTTATTTCCAATCGAGAAGCTCCTACTTATTTTTATTTATTTATTTATTTTTGATAGCCCTGGGTAATGAAAATGAGGCTGCGAGAGAAAAAATGTCCATTCAACATGTTCACAACCCATGTTTTATGGTGTTTGCATTTATATAAAGTATCTTTATTCACTGAATGATCAACACCCAGGTACCCAATGGTAAAAAAATCGCACAGACTGTAATTCTTACCCTCACAACCTCAGTTTCATTCACATGTGTCCTCTAAGTAAGGTCTGTACATTTCACTTCATTGCGTACATACTACTCCGATGATTGAGAGTGTGTGTGTGTGCGTGTGTGCATGTATGTGTTTGTTAAAGAAAGAAAGAAAGAAAGAAAGAAAGAAAGAAAGAAAGAAAGAAAGAAAGAAAGAAAGAAAGAAAGAAAGAAAGAAAGAAAGAAAGAAAGAAAGAAAGAAATAGAAATTGTAGTGGAATAAGGCCTATTTGGTAACACTTTATTTTACAGTGTCCTTGTTACATGTTACATGTGCTTACCATAGTAATAACAGTAAATTATGCATAATTACATGCAACTACCCCTCAACCAAATCCTAATCCTACCCTAACCCTTTAGTAAGTACATGTAGTTGCTTAATATTACTCAGTAGTACTTAAATATATAATTACACTGTAACAATGACACCTTAAAATAAAGTGTAACCGACCTAATTTATGTGTCAACTTCAGGGCATTGCTGTGAGCCGTGTGTGTGTATAGATGCTGTCAGGGTGGTCTGGTCAGTGTGTGGGTGTGTGTAGTGGGGATTATCGCCTCTCTCTGGGTGGCAGAAACACTCCAAACCTTTTCCAGCAGATCAAGAGGGTGTTGGCAGCAAGCAGTCAGCTTTATCTCCGACAAGTTCACCATGTGCGTAAGCATATGTGACTGGAGTTCAACATTATGCATTAGTGTCTTATAGTGAAGTCTATGTGTGTTTCAGCTGCATCTCCACACAGTCAGAGGAGTGGAACTCCCTGTAGTGAGCCTGCAGCTACACCCCCCTGCAGCCCACAACACATACTCAATTGGCAGAGCGGGTAAGACATAGAATCAGTGTATTTAAGCACACAGAATAAATATTTGTTTATAATTATTTACTTTAAAAAAATATATACACTACCGTTCAAAAGTTTGGGGTCGGTACGATTTTAAATACTTTTAAAAGAATTCTCTTCTGCTAACCATGGCTGCGCTTATTTGATTAAAAATACAACAAAAATCAGTTATTGTATTAAATATTATTCCAATGTAAATCAGCTGTTTTCTGTGTGAATATATAGTAAAAGTGTAATTTATTCCTGTGATCAAAGCTGAATTTTCAGCATCACCAGTGTCAGTGTCTTCAGTGTCAAATGATCCTTCACAAATCAGTATAATATGAGGATTTGATGCTCAAGAAACATTTATTATTATTATCAATGTTGAAACAGTTGTTGGTCTGTCAGTTGTAAAGTTTTTTTTTTTTTTTTTAGGATTCTTTGATGAATAGGAAGTTCAAAAGACTTTTGTAACATTATAAATGTCTTTACTGTCACTTTCGATCAAATTAATTATTTCTTGATAAATAAAAGTATTGATTTCTTTCCTACAAAAAATAAAAATAAAATTCTCACTGACCCCAAACTTTTGAACGGTAGTGTATATATATATATATAATATATGTAGTATATGTAAATAGTAGCTAGTCAGTGTAAATAACACAAACTGTATATAACACTCTCTAGTATTCAAGTGGCTTGTTAGATACTGTGCTGTATCTAGTTTCTTAGATGGATTGACCAATCAAAATCATTTAATAAAACTAAATAAGTCACCAGAAGGAAACCAAAGGACGTGTTTCACGTGTTGTCAATGATAATAGTTTTGTGCACAAAAAAAAATCACCTGTAATATTTAAGGTTTATATGGTTCTCCATGCACTTAACTTTGACCAAGAATGTTTATATGTACTTCAAATTTTCATTTTGCTGTTCTTGGTTTTTGACAAGTTTGCACAATTGGCTTGGTTTTGTCAGTAGGTATTTACTCCAAAGAACAGTCTAAATTTAGACATATTTGAGGATGTTGGTCAAAGTCTGGGCTATGGAGCGTATTGTCTTGGTTTAGACGTTCACCTAACTGTACCAATTCTTTGTCTGTGTTGTTCACTTTAATAGTGTGTAACAGAACTATCCCAGTGTCAAAATTACACAACTCACTCTACATTAACTGATCACGGCTACCCACAAACGCTAACCTCTCTCTCTCTCTCTCTCTCTCTCTCTCTCTCTCTCTCTCTCTCTCTCTCTCTCTCTCTCTCTCTCTCTCTCTCTCTCTCTCTCTCTCTCTCTCTCTCTCTCTCTCTACTTCTCTCTCTCTACCTCTCTCTCTCTACCTCTCTCTCTCTCTCTCTTTGTGTCTCACTAACCCACCTCTGCCTGAATGTGTGTGTTTTCTTGGGGCAGTGATACGACTGAAAGTTCTCCTACTGAAGACCGTTCTCCCTCTCACCAAAGCACTGACCAGTAGAGAGGTACACTCTCTCTCTCTCTCTCTCTCTCTCTCTCTCTCTCTCTCTCTCTCTCTCTCTCTCTCTCTCTCTCTCTCTCTCTCTCTGCATGTTCTGTATCTCACTCTTTCACTCCTTCACCTCTCTGATTGTGTCATTTTCTTGTGTTGGAATGTAACTTGTAACTAAATTTATTTCAAAATACAAATGTTATTTTAGCGTACTTCATAATAAAATTACTAGGGAGGCAATGACTCCTTGAAAAACTTTAAGGTGTAGGCAGTATGACCAAACTTTTGCATCAAAATTAAAAATATAAAAAAGTAATTTTATAAAATGGTGAATCAGTTTCTTTAATTATGCATTTATTTAAATAATAATATTTTATATATATATATATTATTTTATTCTTTTATATATATTATTGTATTAAATATATTAAGAAGGAAATCTAAAATTACATTTAATATTTAAGATATATTTAATACAGTAAATTGAACATGTTTTACAAATAAAATATAATGAATAGGGGTGTGACTATACACTTAGCTCACGAGACGATACACAATATTGGGTTCACGGGACGATATTTTAACGCTATTTTTAAGAAATCTTCAATGACAAAATATGACTGGAAAAAGTCTTTTATTCGACTGAAAGTCACAAAATGCAAAACAATATGGTAATACAAATAGACCTTAGTGAACAACAGCCTTAAAATATGACTTAAAATACATAATATAATAAAAACGAGGCAATAATAATGCAGGTGTCTTGACGAAAATGCTACCTATGAATGTCACTTCAGTTCTCGAGTACTAGAGTATCAGTTCTCCAACTGATATCGCGAGACAGCTTTTCACCTCAACGAGAAATATCATGAGATCTCCTCACACCCCTAGTAATTAATCTAATTTTATCATTTTTTTCTTTATCACTTTTAATAACAAGTCTTTGTCTCATTTGGGATTCTCATTTTTCTTCCTTGGTTCCATGTGCCAAAAACATAAAGAAGTCGTTCCCGTTGTTGGCCATGTCCAGGTTTTTGCTTTTTCTGTGCTGTTTTTTTGGGGAAATTTGTGGAATTCTGCAGAATGTATTTAAATATGCTTAAATAGGGATGTAACGATTCACTCGCAACCGGTTGAAAATCGATAAAAATGTGTGACGATTCAAGTCGGTTGAAATGTTAAACGAATCGCGATACACGTTTTAAACAGCAGGGCGCGTTTACTATAGCCTACTGTGAAGTTGTGAACCTCGCTTTACAATAGCACAATAGCAGCGAGCACACACTGGCGTGAAGCTAGCGAGTGTTTTCACTTCATTCATGGAACTTGATCTTGTGTGAGCCAAGCTCAACTTCCATAGGAATGAACTGAAAACGCTCGGTTTGCTCCGCTCGCGCCGCACCAGTGTGCGCCATAGACTGGTGTGCACGTGCCGTCAAACAGTAGACATGGCTTTGGCGACGGCAAGCGTAGATGTTGACGTTGACTCATTCAAATCGGAGGTGTGGCGGCATTTTGACTTTCCGTAGACTAATAATAATCACCACCGTGAGTAACACCAGTCACCTCCGTTTTCATGTAAAAGTCATTAATACTACAATTGCGAGAGCCACGGAGATCACAAGGTGCATCAGTGTTTCCGTGGCAACCAGGTGTTGTATTTATTTTACTATCTCTTTCTCTAAATGTGTTTTTTTTTTACTCTTACTAGTGTAATGATACAAATTATAACAAAATTAGAATCTTGCCTTTATTACAATGTAAAACCCCTGTCAATCTGGTACTACTAATTTTACACAGTCTTTTACATAGTGTGCGAAGGTACCAGTGTCCAGCCTCTTGACCAAACAGACAGAAAGACTGAGTTGAAACAACCTTGAAGGGAATTTTTTTAATGTAGTTTTATTATTTGAGAAATATATTTTAAATTAAAAAGAAATGTGCAGCATTTTGTCTGAGAAATAATAAAAGGGACACTTTTGTCTTAAATCGCATTTGTTAAAAAAATCGTGAGAAAATCGTATCGTGAAACCAGTATCGTGAATCGTATCGCATCGTGAGATGAGTGAATCGTTACATCCCTATGCTTAAATGAATAGAGATAGTTGAAAGCATGTTCAAATGACATATCTGACTTTTTCCTTGACTTGTCATTGCAGATCGCCGTTCGCCGATAGTTGTTTCCTGAGCAGTCCCCTGTGCTCTGAGATAGCGGACGTACAGTGGTACGGGCACGAGAAGGCAAAGCCGGGAACGCTCGTCTAAACCATCATCCCTCATCCCTCTCTCTTTAAAAGAGTGTTCAGAAGGTAGGCCTGACCACAGTCTGGACCTCAACTCATCCGAACACACTTCTGGCTGGAGCCAGTACCACCTCAACCTCTCTTTCATCTCTGTCTCTCTGTATACCCGGCGGTACAGTGTTTATGAACTATGGGAATACAAGACTCTGAATGAACTGAGCTTGACCTTGTCTGACCCTCCCACTCAGACTTTTGAACTTTGACCCAGTTAGCTGGCAGCCGGTTCCTCCATATGCACAAACCCTCTGTGTTTATTCCATCGCTGGAGTGATGTGCATAAGAGAAACGTCTTCTATGCGTTGTACTATAAGTGAATCCCACTCATGCGCACACACACACATGCTCAAATAGACATTCGTCCCCTGCTGTCGTGTGTGTCCCTCTACACTAATGTCAGAGAGCCGGCGTCGTTCTCTCTCATGCACATGACACGCACAAAAACATTCCGATGCATTGCTTTGTTGTCAACCATCTTTGTAGATCTCAGTTCTGTTAAAAAAAAAAAACAATATGTGACCACAAACCCCTCTTTCATTACCCATCTCATTTGGACCAGCAGCACACCATAAGCCCCTCCCTCTGTCTGTGGACTTTGATATTTTGTGAATAACAATAGAGCATTTAAAATGGAAGAAGCCTGTCTTCGGTCATTCTGGATTGGAAAACGAGCCCCGATATCATATCGCTCAAGATGGTGATGACACAAGCGTTACAAACAACTACATAATTTCAAGGAAATTCAAAAACATTGTGGTCTTTGTACGTAATGTTGGTTCATTGGTTCTTGTCCAGAAATTTCAACCATTTTTGCAGAACATTAGCTAACTTTTAGAAGCCATAGCTGTACAACAAATCTGAAGCATTAGGTTAGAGGCATTAGCATGACCCTCGGGATTAAACGACCAATCTGTGAAGTACTGCAACTCAGGCCGCAACCGGTGTACTTTGCTAGTAAGGCAACTTCGCCACCATGGTGCTCAGAGCCTGAACTGTACATCCCACAATGCCCTGCTGTAAGCCCACACTGCATGCAGAACTGTCACTAACCCCCGCGTATAGTGTTGTGACATCAGTGACGTAACGAGACACACGAAAATACCTTCTCCAAACACTCCTGGCCTTATCGGTTTTCTGTTTTTATGTATCTGTTTTTAATATTCAGGATTTTACTTAACAATAACACCACTATGACATTATGTTCACATTTATAAATCTGTCAGATGAGCACAACACAACGTGGCGCACAGACTCAATATTTCAACCGAAATGACATTACCTCCGCCCTGAGCTGTCGAAGGCTTTCAGGAGAACAGCATTCCAGAATGTGACACGATTAAAGCAGGTGCTTAGTTTTACAAGCGACCGGTAAGAAACCATAAGCTCAAACAATACAGGGTGTTTCATGCTTTCATCATGCAGTCAACAAGACCCGAAACCACGTGTGCCCCTCGCCTCGATCGTCCGATCGAGGAAAAACATCAAGCCATAACGCTAAAGACATTGTTACACACTCTGCAAGATACGAGAAATATCGTACGTGCAAAGTACCTTAAGAAACAGGTAGCTAAAAGCACACCCTTTGCCATTACTACAGAAATCCAATAGTTTGTGCGTTGACATAAGCAGTCACTACAAATGTGTATTCAAAAGGGTCCAAATCACCAGGCGCTAAATCTTAAAGTCATCTGATTCATGCCCATTCAAAGTTTTGATCTGCCCCTAAAATTGATTGTTCATTGTTTCCGTGCATGCTCAGCACACTGTGTAATGCATCTTGATGTTAAAACTAAAACCCGGTGTGAAAACAGCCCTAATCGAAAGTAAAACACCTCATCCGCGTCTACGTTTAGAGGTCGTTCAGACCTCATACCCTCTTAGGCCAATGTGAGCTGACTCCTATCGTCTACCTGTACTCGATAACAAAAAACATAAATCTTTTTATATTAAAAAAGAAAAGAAAACTAACACATTTATAGGCAGGACTGTGGAAACTGGGTTCTTTTAAAAGAAAAATTCAAACCAATCATTTGATTTTTATAAATCGGTATTCGATTTATTTCCGTGTCTTTAAGCTGGGAAATCGCAACAACACGTTCAGGTGCTACAGGAAGACCAGTTGCTGCTTTGGTTTCCGAGCTGTAGACTTTTCCTAACTGTTGTCCATAGTTTTAATACCAGTTGTGCAAAATGAAGGACTTTAGTTACTAAACTGTCTTACCACTTCATCTTGACAATAGAGCATGTTTTATGAGTTCATTTTCAGATATAACCGGACACAATAAAATGGTGTTGTAGAAGAAAATAAAAGTGGAATTGTTGGGCAGGTTAAATATAACCAAATTCCACAATTAATTTATTCTTTTTTCTATTAAGAATTTGTATAGTAACATTTTTCAAAAACCGTGTTGTTGGCAACTGATACTGAATTTTCCAGATGAGAAATGTTGGTGGTTCTTGAGATTCTGAAATAAATTATTGCTGAATGTTCGCTAAACTGAAGCGTGAAATCACTTTATTGCTATTATTCAGATAGTGTGTCTTGCATGTCGATAACAGAGTGATATGCATGGTTAATGTATATTTATCGTTATTCATAACGCAACATGCCCCTCCAGGTGGATGAAGGTGATGATCCGCTTCCTCCAGGCGTAATTGAAATTCCCGCATGTCACCTTTTTGGATTATGTTTCTGCATTTGTAATGAGATCAGTTGCTGGTGAAGCTGACAATCACACCCGGTACATGAAACTGAAATTTGATTTGCCGTATCTGAATGCTGCAGTGCTTAAAAATAGTCAAAATCATTTTAATGGAGGAAAAGGGAAAGAAAATTGTCCTGCTTTGAACCTGCATTCAAGGTTACACATACTAAATGTCCTGTTTTGGACTGAAATCATAAAGAATTTTTTGACTTACCAGGTAGGTTCTGTTGATTGCATATGAATTATTTTGTCCTCAATGTTTGTTTGCTTATGAACAGAATGTGAAATTTAAAGATGCTTTAGTATTAGCATTGTTGTTTTACATACAATATTGCCAAATCAACAATATACATGAATATACGAAAAACAGTGACAAATGAACAAAGAATTTATTAAAATATAATGGCCACACTTTAGATCAGGGTCCAATGCTTATTATTAACTAACTATAATCTATGTTTTTTGCCTCAATAAATTCATTACTGCTTATTAATAGTTAGTATGGTAGTTGGTAAGTGTAGGTATTGGGTAGGTTTAAGGGATGTAGAATATGGTCATGCAGAATAAGGCATTAATATGTGCTTTATAAGCATTTATAAACAGCCAATATCCTAGTAATATATTCATGCTAATAAGCAACTAGTTAATAGTTAGAATTGGACCATAAACTAAAGTGTTACCATTTTATTTATAATTTAGTTTAAATAACAACACTGGTATGGACTTTTCTCTTGGTGCTGTTTTGCCATTTTTCAGACCTTTGGAGCCTTTATATCCAAATATATTGCTCCATTTATGTTCCACAGAAAAATAGAGAATCATGTTTGGAACGTCATGAGGGTGAGTAAACGATGACAACTTTCTTTTGACTCTGATAGTACACATGCAAGTGGAATTCCCATAAGTCCCTATGATCACTTCCTGTGCCAGACAGGACACTTAGTTATGCAATGCCTGTTAGGGTTCTGATCAACTCCCTACCATCTTCTTACGTACTACGTTAATATGACTCACAGATTTTTCACAGGAAGTGTGTGAGGATGTTTGTGCCTCAGACAATGGCTTGGGATCTCCCCCGGCAACAGGAACACAACACTGGAAAACCAAACATTGGAGAATTGGCTGTTATTGTGCTGAAAACCCAGTGTGATGCTCGAAATATGTGTTTTGGGGCAGCTGAGTCTATTGTACCCACTGCAGCTGGAATGTGAACAACAAGAGACCCTGTGTTTATGGAGATCTTCCATTTCCTGTGAAGCTCAGTGGATGCTTTGTTGAATGAAATATTTTCACCACTGAATCCATGACATTCCCCTGCTGTGTGTGAAGGGCTTGAGGAACACTGAGGAATGTTGTGTTCAGTGAACATGAAAGCTTGACTTCATAGGGCATCATCGTGACCCCTAGTATGGAGGGTCAAGGCATTTGGAGTTATTTTGGAGAATTGTTTGAATTTGGCAGGCTCACAACTGACTTGACGCCAAAATAAACACTAGAGTCTGTGGAAAGCACTACTGCTGTCAGTCCAAAGGGGGTGGTAAGATGAAGTATTGAATGATCTGGGCTTGAAAGGTTCATTCTCCACCAATAATTCATGAACAATTAACATTGTGCCCTTAACCCTAGGTTAACTGAGTCCAGGGGGACCCAAACCTTGTCCAAACAAGCACAACATGGTAAAACAACATGTCTCTTCAATGTAAATTAGATTTTTATTCGTAAATTACTCTGGGTTTTCAGTTATTCTCTGCAAGTTGCATCATAATGCTGGAGGTGGCGCCTATCTGACTGAGACTGTGAAACATTTATTCAACCGGTTTTTGTTTAAAAACATGGATTCGTTGTTATCTGCCTTTATGATGAGTGAGCCATCGACTTAACTGATTTGTTCAAAATCAATGGGCGCATGCAAATATGCATACTTTCCTGCTATATAGTAGATGAAAGTTCCTGAAAAAAAGTATTTATAAAACGGTAGGTGAAAAGTACCCGGATGACCAACTACTTCCGCCAAGACTTCAAAGTGCGCTTTTGATGGACACTTTACTGTAGGGACTCAACTGCCCAGACAGCAACACAGTACATGTGGATTCCACCCGCACCACTAGAGTCGAATCTGTGTGGCCCGAATCTGTCCCGACACTGTTGCTGTCTGGGTGATGTTGGGATGTCACATAACAATGATAACATGTTGGATGTAGTATTCCTGGAATTCATTCAAATTACACACATACACTCATAATATATGGAACTTGGAACATACTTTTTAACCAAGTACTTATTCAAAGGACAGGGCCGGCGCTCCGCACACGCACATCACGCGCTGCGCGTAGGGCACCAAGTGCTTGGGGGGGCACCAAAAAATCTGGGTCGTGAAAAATCATCACAATAGGCTACTAGTATAAATAACAAATAAAATATGTCTAAACCATGTTAATATACAAAAGCAATACAAAAGTAATACAGGCCTAGACCAAATTAGTCGAGAAAAAGGTGAATCTCCTTTTTCGTCTCCCTCTGGTGCCCCCCCTTCCCCACCTCCCAGTGGTCTGTTCGATTATGCCTCAATCAATGTCAAATTTGGCAGACACCGATCTCAGACATGGCCTCGGAAAGGCACCAAGAGTCGGGGGCGAAAAAAGGAAAAAGAATAGACAGCGGGATGATACTCGCGCGTCGCTTTGCAGGTAAGACAATTTTTTAAATAAAAATGTTAGTTTTGTAGCGCGGGCGCCCTTGCGTCGTGTATGCATGTCCAGGGGGCGTCGCTAGTAGTGCAAATGAAATGATCCGGGGCTTTTTTAGCCCTGCATGTTGAATCTTTTATTTTAACGGGGGTCCGGGGCTTTCTCCCCCGGATAATTTTGAAACTTGGGCTGTTTAAGATGCAGTTAGTTTGTTTGAGAAGAAAAGGAAGACCGCTTAGATACGTTTTTTCGTTGTTGTTTTATGCGGATAATGCGTTCATTTTCAAGAGGTTCATAGGCCAAGGCCCAAGGGCGACATCTGTTGGTGAAACTGCAATTAGAAAAAACAAAACAAAAAAACCCCACAATCTCAGT